CCCCAAAACCCCAAAACCCCAAAACCCCAAAACCCCGAAAGCTGTAAGATAATCTTAAACACTTAAAGATTTGTTATGAAATTAAAATAATTCAAAAGTTGTCTAAATTGACTTCTGAAAGTGGCATGCTCAGATTCGCAGTTATTAATGGGATAGTTGATTCATTATTGAAGACAAAGACTTTAATCAAGTCAGCTGCTCCATTCGGATCTATATTTTCAACATCAATATCAACTTTGTAATTAAGATTTGGAACCAGCAGGGGAACAAAAGGATTTCTTTGAGCTCTTAATTTATAAATGGCATCGTTGAAAGTCAAAACTATGTGGACACCTGTAATAGGCTTTTTAGACAAATTTTGAAGTTAAAGTTTTATCTTGAACACTGGTCCTATTCCCTCATACTATAGAAATAATTACTCTTATTAGTTATTTACATTAGCTGATAGTCTTATCTAAGACCCTTAAGCATAACTCTGAGGAGCTACTCCATCACTCAGCATCTATATGTAAGTTTTGGCTGTCTTAAGCCTCATCCTACAAAGGTCTTTTTAGAATTGCTTATGCATTTCTATTATAGTTAAAGTTATTTAATGATTTACATGGAGCTTATTCTCTTTCTCTTTAAGTGAGCTCCACAAATAATTTGGTCTTTTTGGGAACATTCAAAGGAATGTCTTGTTCTGGAGGAGCTCCTGGCTTGCTTGATGATGTCAATAAATTGGCTTGTCTCTACAAAATCTTTGCTGATAGACCTCTACTTTTATAGTTTAAAATCAAGCATCCCTCTTCTCTTCCAAAAATTCCATAAATCATTCCAGTTATTTACTCCTAATAATATTAGCACAAAATTAAATTACATCACTCTTCAAAGAATATACCATAAATTTGTCATTGTAAATTCTTATCTCGCCATTAATCAAAGCAACCAAAACACAATTAATGGCTTAAGTTCTCTTTATTTCCATCTTTTAAATGTTAGTAATTTGATGAGGCATTAAAACTGAATAATTTTTCTTTCCTTTCATATAGAAAGCATTTAGGGTCTGATTCATTCCTGCAATGACTAGTTGTTTATCAAATCTTATAAAGCCTATAGGCTTAGATTCGATTCTGAAGAACTATTCGGAAAGAATTCCATTTCTCACAATCATGATCTTTCCATCTCTACAGGCAATATATATCTTATATTCCACATCAAATTAGCCCGAGCAATCTAAAAGCACTGGGACACTTTTAAGTTTTATCTATTTCTTGATATTATTTCCAGTCTAGTCAAGGATAATTAAATCTTTGTTCTCAGTTCCAGCAACTAGCATTGTCACTGTCTTTTCTTCATCTAAAGCTTTTTGTAATTTGCTCATGCAAGTTATGAAATTTTAGTGCTGAAGCATTTGAGCATGGTTTTGCTTTACAAATTCAAACTATTCTGGGATGCTCTCTATAGATAAAAGTTCAACTGAAAGAGTTGAAATGGCAATTCCTGATTCTCTTAGAGAGAAGAGCTTATCAGTAAGTACTTGAATTCCTTAATCATCTGACTTTGCTAGAGTTTACCAAATCTCACGCTCTTCTGAAGAGAACTATATCATTGGCATTTCAAACTTCATAAATGGCTGGAAATTCTAGTAATAGAAGATTGTGGAACCACAAGCAATGGCGATAAAAGGAATCATAGGCTTCTTGCTTGAATCATAGAAAGTTTCAATAGCAGTTGGTCTATCGTTAAGTTTTTCATTATAGATTACATTTGTTCCCATATAAATTTTTAGTTTTCCTTTAACATCAGCAACTACAAGTTTATAATCTCCATCGTCTTTCAGATCTGAGACACACATAAGTTAAGTCAGTGATTCTACACCAGCAACTGAGTCACTCCAAGCATGAATCCAAGGAGATTTCTTGATCACATTCTGTTCCTCTAATTATTGCTGTTGCTGTACAATCTCTTAATGAGGTGTTCTCAACATTTTGCAACTTAATTTGATTTTTATAATTTAAATTATTATTTTTCCAAATTTATTTCGATTATGGTCCATGGGGTTTTGGGGTTTTGGGGTTTTGGGG